ACTTCATTTTCTGTGAATTTCTAGTTCCTATTGCTTGCTATAATTTGGTTGAAATTTTTGTCTTTTTCTTATTGAGCTTTTTGTCTATTCTTTATCAATTCATAGAAATTCTGTATGTGTTCTCAGTACTGATATTTTGTTGGTTTGGGGCAGCACATATTCTCCCATCTATGGCTTTGTAGTGGTTGTAGTCAAGAAACGTTGTTTTAATACAATCAAACTTAGAATATTTATTTATGTCGTATGTTTGGGAGTCTTGATTAAGAAATATGCTCTACCCTAAGATCATATATGTAATCTATGAAATTTTCTAATGGTGTAAGGAAGGGATATAATTTTATTTTTCCCTACAGATTGCCAGCTGCCTTGACATCATTCATTGAATAGCCCTTCCTTTCTTCACTGATGTATAATGCTACTTCTGTTAATTTCTTAGTCCTTATTATAAACACATCTATTTCTAGGCTCTCTACTGTCCTCCATTGTTTTACTGGTTTATCTCTGCAAAAGTACATTATCTGTTGTAATCACTATAGCTTTATAACAAACTTTGATATGTTATAGTGAAACCCTACCTTCTCTCTTCATAAAAATTATATAGATATTTTGGTAAATATCAATATGTGTTAAAAATAAATCAGTTATAGGATATTCTAAAGATACTCCAAGGATTAGAATTTCTTTAAAAAATTGCTTTTAGCTTTTAGATTGTATTTCTTTGAATGTGATGCCATGTAGCAACTAAGTATGACATGGGGCCCCCGGATTATCAGGGCTAAACCTGTTCTTGAACTAGGGCCAATGTAAGTTTCTGAATGAAGCTGTCATCATGCATTTAAATAGATGTGACATTTCATTGATCAACAAATTTATATAGAACATACATTAATTGGTAGATTATGAACCTGGTAGATTCTGAACAAATTAAAAACACTCATGTAATGTGCAGACAAGCAGGGGATGCAGAATTAAACCGGTCATGACACAAAGTTATGAAAGGCAATGAGATGTCTGATGTCAAATAATTGCTTTGTTTCCAGGGAAGAAACTCTGGCGTCAAAATACTTGGGTCCAAATCTCAGCTTCTCTTCTTACTGCTGTGACTATGAGATTGTCTGCTTCAGTTATCTCATCTGAAAAGTAGAAATAATAACAGTACCTACCCAGCTCATACATTTAAGACCATTGAATCAGTTACAACACATAAGCTATTAGAACAGTGCACAAGAAAAATATTCATTAAACATTAACTGTTGGTATTATCATTTACAGAGACTAGGACCAGATTAAGAAAGAAAATGGCTGCATAGCCTAAACCAACATTTTTTGCAGCAAAATATGTGGAGTATGTAAGAACATATGGATGAAGACATTCCCTAAATCAAAAGAACATTTCTACTATACTATGCCACAATCAGCATTTCTTATTCCAAGACATTCCGTTTTTTCCCTTCAACTTTCCAGTGCCCTCTAGCTGATATATAAGCATGAGGCCTGAGAACCAGAGCAGCGTGTCCGAGTTCCTCCTCCTGGGGCTCCCCATCCCCCCAGAGCAGCAGCGCGTGTTCTTCCTCCTGTTCCTGGGCATGTACCTGACCACAGTGCTGGGGAACCTGCTCATCATCCTGCTTATCCGGCTGGACTCCCACCTCCACACTCCCATGTACTTCTTCCTCAGCCACTTGGCCCTCACCGACGTCTCCTTTTCATCTGTCACTGTCCCAAAGATGCTGATGAACATGCAGACCCAACACCTATCCATCCCCTATGAGGGGTGTGTTTCACAGACATATTTTTTCATATTCTTCGCTGACTTAGACAGTTTCCTTATCACATCAATGGCCTATGACAGGTATGTGGCCATCTGTCACCCTCTACATTATACTACCATCATGAGGCCGAGCCTTTGTGTCATGCTGGCGGCTGGGTCCTGGGTCATTGCTTGTGCTTGTGCTCTTTTGCATACCCTCCTCCTGACCCGGCTTTCCTTCTGTGCTGACCACATGGTCCCACACTTCTTCTGTGACCTCGGTGCCCTGCTCAAGTTGTCCTGCTCAGACACATCCCTCAATCAACTGGTCATCTTTACAGCAGGACTGACAGCCATTATGCTTCCATTCCTGTGCATCTTGGTTTCTTACGGTCATATTGGGGTCACCATCCTCCAGGTTCCCTCTACCAAGGGTATCTGCAAAGCCTTGTCCACTTGTGGATCCCACCTCTCAGTGGTGACTCTCTATTACGGGGCAATTATTGGTCTCTATTTTCTTCCCTCATCCAGCGACACCAACAACAAGAACATAATCGCTTCAGTGATATATACAGTAGTCACTCCCATGTTGAATCCCTTCATTTATAGTCTGAGAAATAAAGACATGAAAGGGGCCTTAAGAAAACTCTTGAGTAAAAAAAACATACTTTTCTAACTGACACTTACCTTTCTTTTAAAACAGGCATATGATCTTATTTCATCAATAACACAAAAATACAAATTATTGAAAATATAGCTCATTTGTCTTCCTTCGACAGCTGTAACTCTGAAATGCTTTGCCAACATTATTCTTACACCTGTTAGGGGGAATAGCAAAATATGATATGTTTTATAGGACTTTATTTGGCTTTTCTTAGATAATGGGATTGGAAAATATTTTGAGGATGTTCTATCATTTTGGCTGGTATCATTAAATGGAAGCCATTAGAGCTGGTCCTTCCCCAAATTTTAAATATGTTATAAAATGTGTCTGACCTTTCACACCTCCATTTCTAAGGGATTTTGCATTTTTGTGAAGATATGGTTCCTCCTTCACCCAGGCACCCAGACATCCAGGGACCCTGAGCTCTTCCAGAAATTTCGGGGAAAACATTACATTTTATTCTCCTTGTGGGATAATTAGCACACTGCTTTCTTGTCCTTCAGGAATACAGCCTATATTTCCTTTCTCCCAAAATGCATACAGTTATTCAGTGACACAATAAATGTCACCTCAATTCTCTCAGGTACTGGTCTAAGACACATTAGAATTACCTAATTTAACCCTGACAACACCACCAGGAGGTAGGTTTGGAAAACTCAGGCTCAGAGTGGCTTAGAACACCTCAAGATCACACAGTTAGTGAAAGGAAGATTTGAATCTTGGCTGTCTGACTCCAGAGTGACTCAGTGTGGCAAAGACTGTAATAGTTTATAAGGAACACTGTAAGTTTGAGGAAGAATAATTAGCTCAGCGTAGTCGAAGAGGATATAAACAACTTTCCAGAGAAGATGTGGCTTTACCTGCGTTTTAATGGATTAGAATTATCCAAACACAATTTATATGAAATTATCCAAACACAATTTATATTTATTTATATGAAATATCCAGAATAAGCAAATTCATACAGACAGAAGCATTTTGCTGTTTGCTAGGGTTTAGGGGAGGAGAAAATGGGAATGACTGCTTAATGGGTCAGTAGCTTTCTTTTGGAGTTCTGGAATGAGGTAGTGGTAATTGTTGCACATTATGAACGTACTGAATGTCACTGAATTGTACATCTCAAATGTTTAAAATGATAAATTTGTGTTATGTACATTATGCTTCCATAAAAATTTTTTAAAAGAAAGCAAGAAGTAATTGTTACACAAAGCACAGAAAAGAATAATAAAATAATAATAACGTATGATTAATAAGTTAATCAGGAAAGGAGGAACAAAAACACATATTTAATTAATCAAAATGGAAAAGGAGGAAAAAATATGAAACAGATATCTCAAATAAAAAACATAGTAATATGGAAAATATAAATTCGAATATATCATGATTACATTTAATAGATTAAATCCTCCAGAAAAGTAGTAATTGTCAATCTACATAAAAAAAAGAGCAAAATCAATTTTATGCTATTTACAGTGGGCACAGCACATACATAAGGACATAGAAAGATTCATTGTTAAATGATGAAAAAGAAACATCATGTAAACACTAACCAAAAGAACAAGCTGGTATATCAATACTAAAATCAGAAAAAGTGGGTGAGACGTTACGGTAGGAGCCATCAATAGAAATGAAGAGAAATATCTCCTAATTATAAATGCAATAGTGTGCAGCTAAATTAATAACAAATGGCTCTCTATAATGAGAGACCCTTGTTTTTAGCATTTGCCAATTTCCATAGTGTAATTATTCCCATTATGGCTGATTTCAAACTATCAACAAAATGTCATTGGTGGTGGACTTGGGAAGAGATGCACACAATCAGCTTGAAGCCAGTGCAAGCCAGCTCAGCACACCACTGCATGAAAGAGTCAGTCTACCAGAGTAGATCATAATGCTGAATCTATGTGTCCTCATGACATAGTTTAGAAGTATGTAAGGGGTCTGGGCGCGGTGGCTCACACCTGTAATCCTAGCACTCTGGGAGGCCGAGGCGGGCGGACTGTTTGAGCTCAGGAGTTCGAAACCAGCCTGAGCAAGAGCGAGACCCCGTCTCTACTAAAAATAGAAAGAAATTAATCGGACAGCTAAAAATATATAGAAAAAATTAGCCAGGCATGGTGGCGCATGCCTGTAGTCCCAGCTACTCGAAAGGCTGAGGCAGAAGGATTGCTTAAGCCCAGGAGTTTGAGGTTGCTGTGAGCTAGGCTGACGCCACGGCACTCGCTCTAGCCCGGGCGAAAGAGTGAGACTTTGTCTCAAAAAAAAAAAAAAAAATATGTAAGGAAAAATTGACATATCTCAAAGGAGAAAAAGACAAATCCTCAATTACAATAATGCAACATGTTTTGCATAAGATTTCTCACGCATCTTATAGGAGATGACGAACATTAAAGATAAAGAAGACGTAACAACCCAAGTAACAAACTTGATCTAGTTGACATATTAGGAACACCATACATAACAGCAAAATACATGTTATTATTTTAAAACTATATAGAGTTTTCAACCGCATGATATAATAATTTTAGGAGATATATTAATATCTCATTAATATTCCATGAATGAAATCAGAGAATTTAGTGATTGTCACTTAAAGAAGTTAGCCCTATTGACAACTATTTCTAGAGCCTGTTTTATAACTCTGTTCCTCAAGCTGTAGATGAAGGGGTTCAGCATGGGGGTAACTACTGTGTAAATAACAGAAGCAATTATTTCTTTGTCATTGGAGTTCCATGATGAAGAGAAAAAGTACACAGCTGCAAGTGTCCCATAGTATAAAGACACTACAAAGAGATGGGAGCCACAGGTAGAAAAAGTTTTAAAGAATCTCTTAGTAGAGGGGCCCCTGAGGACAGTGGTTCCTATACAAATATAAGAGCCCAAGATACTACTCAAAGGCAGGATAAAAAGCACTCCCCCCTCAGTGAAGATGACCAGCTCATTGAGGCAGATGTCTGAGCAGCTCAGCTTCAGGAGGGCAGTGAGGTCACAGAAGAAGTGGGGGATGGTGCTAGCAGTGCAGAAGGACAGTTGGACCGACAGGAGGGTGTGCAGCAAGGCATGGGCACAACTGAAACACCAGGACACAGCTACTAATGAGACACACAGCTCCTCCCTCATGACAGTGACATAGCGCAATGGGTGGCAGATGGCCACATACCTGTCATAGGCCATCACTGCAAGAAGGAAATTGTCAAGGCAGCCAAAAAGTATGAAAAAATATATCTGAGAAATGCACCCCACATAGGAGATGGATCCTTGCTGAGCCTGCATATTCATCAGCATTTTTGGAACTATGATAGAAGAAATGGAAATGTCAGAAAAGGCCAAGTGGCTGAGGAAGAAGTACATGGGGGTGTGGAGGTGGGAGTCCAGGCGGATGAGCAGGATGATGAGCAGGTTCCCCAGCACCGTTGTCAGGTACATGCCCAGGAACAGGAGGAAGAACACGCCCCGCTGCTGTGGCGGGATGGGGAGCCCCAGGAGGAGGAACTTGGACACACTGCTCTGGTTCTCCGTCCTCATGCTGTTCTTACCTCTGTCAGGAGTTGGGGAAAGTGGGAAATGCCAGTGAGCATGGCCATAACATTACAGAAATGTCTTTTCAGTAGAAAAATTTTTAATTTTAGCTACACTTCTGTTTATTTTTCACACTGTGTGCACGAAACACAAGTCTGTCCCATTTTAGTGCCAATGATACATCAAACCCTCACATTAACCAAGTTTCTTTCCAAAGAAACAGAAGGACTTTAATTCTTTACCCAACACGTATTTATTTAACAACAGCCTTGTCCCAGGTACGACACTAACTACTGAGTACATGAGTACAAACAAGAAATGCAAAGTCTCTGCATTTGAGGAATTTATATCTTTATATCAAACCAAATTTGAACCTCAGTCATTCATTGTGATGATTGAAATATGAAATGAGTATCAATATTTCCTTTTTTTAAGCTGCTGGATATTATTTATTTACTTACTTACTTTACTTCCTGCAGCATACCCTAGCTTCTCTCAGCTAGACACAGAAAGAAAATACTGCATCATCTCACTTATATGTGAAATCTAGAAAAAGGAAAAAAAAAAGTGAATATGTAGCAACAGAGAGTGAAAGGGGGCTATCAGTTATTTCCTTTAGCAGGAAGGTGAAACTCCCTAAGTTGTAACAGAATTGCCAAAGTTTTGTCACAAGCTTACAGTGTCATTGGTTGGGTTCTACTGTTCTGAGTGATCTACGATTCCCTGTCACCAAAAGTGTCCTATCCAGGTTTGCAAACTGACATTAACAATAGTGGTAGGCACTATTCCAAGTGTTTTACACGCACTTTCTAATTAAATCCTCAACATAGACCTATTATTTTATCCATTTTAACAATGGGAAAATGAAAGCATGCAGTATTTAAATGTGCAATTAAGTACAACAGACGGAATCACAATATATGTCTGCCTGACCAGAATCCACGCTCCTAGCTACTCTGCATAGAAACTACACTCCTCATTCATCAGAATATCCAAAGAGGCAACATTATGTCCACTGCTTTGGTCCAAAATGCCTTTAGCTCCCTGCTTAAAAAATTTTGCCACTCACATTTCTACATCGTACACTTTACAAAAGACTTTCACACCTTTTGCTTTCCTCAAAGCAATAAATATATATTTAGAGCCTGTCGGGTACACAAGGCAAATATTATGTCCTTCATTTCATAGATGTGAAAACACTCAGGCCAAAGAGACAAATGGCCAACACAAAGTCACTCAGCTGTTTGACAGGGGATTCCGGATTCAATATTCCTTCAGCTGAGAGGTTGGGGCAGAGGTTAGGGTTACCCAATACACACCCCGACGAGGGAGTAAAGACTGTCCTTCTCACTCAAGTGTAGGACCGTGACAGTAAGTCCTCCTTAGGGACTGTGCGCTTGCTTGGGGCACAGGTTATCTAGGTTCGCGGCCACCAAGGAGGACAGTGATGGGACCCTTATGCTGGGGCCCAGCTGCCCACTGTCTGCTGTGTCAGTGCTCACCAGGAAACCAGAAGAAAAGCAGAGGGAAGCCAGGACCAGCCAGGAACTGTGACGCCAGTAGGATCTTGAGTAGAAGAGCTGGGCCCATGAGCCAGGAAAAGGAAGTCCGGCCATGACCCTAAGGGGTGAGAGGGAGCCTGGGATGGGTCAGTTTTCTCTGACTTCTACCTGTGCTTCCCACACAATGGTGAAATAGAAACTTCCATGACACAAATGCTGGATTTTGACAAAGATGTCAAAAATACCTCATTTTTACTGAGCACCAATTATGTGTCAGGCCTTTTGCTGAGTAATTTGCAGGCATTGGCTCATTCGTTCCTCAAAATGCCATTATAAAATAGAAATAGTTACTCTCGTTTAAAGTAAAGAGTCTGGATCTCAGAGAGCTAAAGTCATTTCTCAAGGTCACAAAAACGTACATGGCCAAACTGAGGGTCCCAGTGTTACTCACTACAGACACTGAGCTCTTATCTATTAGATAAGAACTGCCCAATGGCGCAAATGCACACGAACCTGCCTGCCCAATGCAGAAATACGGACACTGCTGAAAGACAGTTAAGGAAACATTTTAGTTCAGAGAGGCCAACCAGAAGCCCCTAAAACACATATAGGAAACACACACGCACACACACATGCACGTACTTAAATTGCTGATTTGTGATTTCTTACCACAGTAACTGTGTGGTTCAGTTACCCGCAGAATCATAAAAACAAAATTCACAAATAATACACAAGATTTGATATACAACAGCACAAATAACCCATACAACCGCACACAAACACTTGTACAGTCTCAACACAAACAACACAACCAGCAACACATAAAAATCACATATCAGATGTATATATTCATACTGTGAATATAGACTCATGCAATGAAACATATATATTAAACAACAAAAATACAAGAGCAAACACATCACACAAAAATCATACAAAAAACATACCAGTTACACACACATGCCTCTTCCCAGTCAGGCAACAAACAACACACACGGTCACATACATACACCCTCACTGCAGAACAAGGTTCCAGCCCCCACTGACGTACGTCCAATACAGGTGAAGGTCGTCAGTCAGTGAGTCACTTGGGTCTATTTTCACTCACAGGCACCAGCACGTCAACATTATCTACAAATAAAACAAACAGAAAATACACACACACACACACACACACACACCACACTTTCTCAAACACGTGCAATTACTCATAAACAAAACACAAGATCATACATACCTATGTCGCTAAGTAGAGATTGCAAGATCTCTTTGCCATTACTGGTCATGAGTAAATTCTAAAAAATTCTGCTCTAGATTGCTGAATACATCTGTCTCACTTCAGACTCTCCACTCTCATTTACTTAACTATGATGTCTGTTCACAGATGAAAATGTGGGAGGTATAGACCCAGAGCGAGGTAAATATTTGAGATGAAAGGGACTGATTAGGAGATCCCAGAACACAAACAAGTCTACTCTTGCTTGAGGTGAGCCTATTTGAAGTTGTATGTTCTGGGTCTAGAGAGGAAAAGAACCAGGCTGAAGGTCAATTACATATCAACCACTCTCTCTCACAGAAAGAGAGAGACAAAACTTACAAGGAAAAGATTCATATATCTACATCACACAAGCAAAGAAATACCACACAGAACACATATGGAATATATGTGGAATACATATGCAGACCTCTAGACACAGAGACACACCTTGCCCATCTAGAATTCCCAGCTCATTCTGACCTCTGCCAGTCATGGGTGAACTCAGGCACCTGCTGATTCAAACAGTTTTCTGGGTCCTCAGTTTCTGCTGGGGATACTAGGAACAAAAAAGTAACAGGTGAGCCTCTGTGAACCCAGGATTTCCTAAGCTTTCTGGGTCTGTCCTTGAGCTTTGGAGCAATAGGCAGGAGGATACCATTTTATAAATCACAGAGAGGACTCAGGAAAAGTCCCTAAGCTCCTGGTTAAAGAGAGAATCAAAGTTGACTAATTACTTCCAATTCCTACCAGACCTTGGGGAGGAGCCTGTGCAGGAGGGCCTCAGGAAGGACAGAGCTGCTGGGGTCACCTGAGAGTGTGTCCCAGATATCAGGAACACCCTGGACTCCTCTCTACCTGTTCATATCTCTAGCTGGGAAGCACGAGTGGCTGTCATGCTCCAGCACTGATACAGCCAATGCAGGGTCAGCCTTTCCCAACAGCACATTACGATCCAGGTGTAGAAAGTCTGGCTTCTGCAAACCCCCACACCTCTTATACGTGCTACCATGAGGGCACAGATTCAGCTTTAACTTCACATCCTGTAGGTCTCTTCTCTCCCCCAGCAGAGACTATAGGGAATGAAGACGTGACTTTTCCAATAGATTATAAAGTGGGGACGTGGAGCCTTTGGGCTCAGGACCCAGATCGAACTGGGTCTGCGCTATGTTAGTCGTTAATTTTTGACTGTGAGCAAGCAAAGTAACCTCTTGGTCTTATTTCATCAGCTGTAAAATGCAGATAATAATTATTGTCATCATGAAGTTATAACAAGATTAAATGATATAATGCATATTAAGCACATAATTAATGTACAATAAGTATTACCTCCTCCTATCATTATCTTTTTAAATTCCAAAAGAAAGATAATTTTTTCTAAAATTATTGATATTAATATAAGATTGATATTGAATGAATAAATGAATAATTAATTAATTCTTCAAAATTTAATAAGGACCTCTTCCTCTCTAAGAAAGACTTATCCTGTCCCCACCAACAGTACAACAAAATTATTTACTTACTTCCTCTCTCCACCACTCAGAGCCTAGCACAGGTTTAGACACACAGTAGGGGCTCATTAGATGTCAGATTCTGGAGTCCAGCCCCTTTTATCCAAGCAGAAAGACCACTGAAGTCACTCCCAGGCCAATGCCTAGCCCACAGGTGCTTTTATTTCTCCATCTTTTAACACCTGGATTAGGAAAAACACAAGTTAATAGGGGCTAATGAATTTCCTTAGTGTGAGGCTCTGCATTACTTTATATACATAGAACCATACCAATTCACTAAAGATAAATTAGTCAAATGACCGATTCTACAAGTGGCCATGCAACGATGTCATAAGGTAAGTAAGAAATTAACTGGGAAATAATAATCATAATTTTCTATTTATTTCTAAACGTAAAAAATTTAGCTAATGTCATACTTGAGGGTTTAGCAAAACTATCCTAATATATTGTAAATACAGAAAAAAGATTTGAAAAAGAATTCAGATAAAATTCATTGTAAAACTGAAAACTAAAAACTGAAACATTTATAATTGATCATAAAATTCATTATAATTGATCATAATTTTCATTAAAATAATGCATTTATAAGAAGTCTAAAGCATTTCATGACTCCTAGCTTTCAAAAGTTCAAGCACTCCTTAAAACGCTGCCATAAAGATTAATAGAATGTGGTTTTTTAAGTTTTTTGAAATATTCAAAATGACTAAAACCTGAATATCTAGTAATTCTATAAACTTA